ATAGAATTAAGAGTGATTATTATTGGTATATATATTTAAAAAGGAAAAAAATAAGAATATTGTTATTTATGATGATCCATTTATTACATATTTTACATATTATATATAAACATTATTTATTATTTATTTCTAAAAAAGCAATTGAAAAAAATTACTGGTCTATAGTAATAGTATATAGATTAAGGATACTGGCTGCAACTTTTGATGATGGTTGCTACCATCTTTGCGTCATTTAAAAACGATTGCAACCACTGGTTGCAACCACCTTTACAACCATTTTGTTTCCTTTTTTCGATTGCAACATGGAACACTAATATAGATGATAGTAAAATTCGAATTTACATATACACAGTAAGTCTCGGTATAGCGGACCTCAGTATAGCAGACATCTAATAAAACTCTCGGTTTAACGGATCAAAGCTCAGAACCATCTATAAGTAAATTCTCTCGGTTTAACGGATTTACTAATACTAATTAAATCTTGAATTAATCTTGGTATAACGGATTTTTGAAATTTTTGTTCTAATTGCCCAAATTATCCGCTATACTAAGACTCACTGTGTATAGAGTTATCAATAACTATTTGCCAAATTGTGAATTCATTGTTTTTGATAAAACTGTACCAATCTCTGACCCTATGTCTATTAGACTTGGTTGGATGAACCCTCTAGACTTGGAAAAAGAGATCAAGTCATTGACTGCATAATAAATACATGTGTCAGAGGCACTAGCTCCACTATAAATAAAAAAAAGATACCAACCCTTAAGGGATATTGAAACATTAAATAAAAGATACCAGCCATCAAAGGGTATCTAAACATTAAATAAAAGGTACCAGCCCTCAAGGGATATTGAAACATTAAATAAATAAAAGCTACCAGCTTTCCTTTAGGAAAGGTAACATAAATAATATGATAAGTTAATTAGATACAGTTTATACATTGTTAGCTTGATGCATCTCCTCTCAGATCCCCCAAGAGAAGTTGGAAAAAAGATCCAAGCATGCACTATCATACAAAAAAATGGTTAGAACATGTGTGCTACAGAATTAGCTAAACATTAAAAGGATGTATTGCATGATGTACATGGGTACCTTCTATTGTTTGAGGACTATCAAAACTTGTTTGCCAATTCTCCGCACTAATTAGATCAGTGTTGAATTATTTTAGTAACTTGAGAAATATCAATAATCAAATACCAAAATAAGAAATACATCTACATGTGATTCCAAATATTCTGGCTAGTTCTCAACAATTTTTTATCAGATGGACTCAAATTCGTTCTTAAATCATTATAGGCATTGTCAATTTCTTCTTCTAAAGCCTCTCTAGTTCCGTTTTCAGGCAACTTGAGCACACCAATGACATAATTCTTCAACCACTTTCGGTAAGTCATATTTCGGGTACATTGCCTTTATTTGCTCAAAAATTTTTGTGCAAATAGCTGATGAAAGATCCAATTGTACGCGATCAGAATTTTCCTCCAAAAGGAGTATAGAATTTAGAGCACTGAAATTCATAAATCAAATACATTAACATTATTAACATTTCTAACTGTTAATATATACATAAATTGAATAAAAACAAAGATAACATGTCAACTAACAGAATTTCACCAGGATTATCTTTGAATTTCAATTCATACCTATCTGCTTTGGATTCAGAAAAATTCTTGAAATGGAAAAATGCATCACTTATGCTTGTATCATCAATAGTCCACTCCTGTACAGAATTTAAAGTTATGTTGCATAAGTGCTCTTTAATAATGCAAACATCTATATATACATACCACAACTATTTGTTTCATGTCCTCATATAAATCCCATTCCAACTATGGTTGCTTGCCAAAACTCCTCTGGAAATCAATAGGTGGAGTTTCAGCAGGTAACACACTAATTGTTTGTTAGAGTATCAGCATTTAGGGATTTTGACAATTAGCAGAGTTTTAGCAGGTTACACACTAATTGTTTATTAGAATTTCAGCAGAGTTATGGCAGTCATTAAGAGGTTTCGACAAGCAACCTTAATTACAACACATATGTACATTTGGGTTCCTTCTGCTTATTTTTTTTTTGGCAGTCAGCTCATACTGATATTCTGATATGTTGGGCTGTAGGTACAATAAAAAAAGACTATTAAAAAAATTAACATTTCCTCAGTTGTGAGTTGATAACTATACAAACACTTTTACCTCTTCAGTTTCTTCAAATGATTTACTATGCTTTTTTGAACCATTTGTAAAATTAGCCAACTTTGGATCTATTGTATTATCTGCAGATTTTGCACTACCAGTTGATTGACTCACAAATAATTTCAACTTAGATACATAATCCAAATATATATCATCCCCAGCCTAAAAAGAAATCATGCCAATTAACAATTATTTGGTCTTGACTGCTATGAATAGCAAGAGCATCATGATAACTGCTTTAATTTGAAGGCCGTACCTCATCCTCCTTGTTGAATACTTCATTAGAATTGTCTTTTTCATTGCTTTCTATTTACGAATTCCCCAATTTTTCAATTATATTGGTTGTCATTTGTCCAGATGAATTTTGGAAGAAATTATCAGTCTTGTCATTCAACCCCTATAGAAGAAATACAGAGTAATTATTGTGATTTGGCAGTAGTGTATAAAATTCATGTGCACAGTGTGCACAGTACACAACCCCCTTAAACTGTGCACAATAAGATAAATATTTTTGTGCAGACACTCAACAAAAATTTTAAATATAGTGCACAAATTCAATGAGAAATTTTTGCATCATTACATTTTTCTATGTATAATGCACAAAAAAAATCAAAAAAACTAAAATACTTACAATTTTTTGTGCATACATGCACAATTTTTAAACAACTTTTGCACAATTCCTCAAAAAATTTTGTACAACATGCACAAAAATTGATCGGCAAATTTTATACACTGTTTGGCAGTAGTAAAATTAACTATTTCTACTGATTCTCAACTTGTGAATAAAAAAATGCAATCTGTACCTTTTGATCTTTTTTTGATAAAAATGATCCAGAAACAAATGTCCCATTTTTGTTCATGTTTACAAATCCATTGATATTCTCACTGGTAATTGTCAGTTGGTGGTGATATACCCTGCTGTGAGATCTTTCATTATTCCAACTTCTAGCAATTTGACAATCATTTTTATAACCCTAGTATAAAAGAACAATGCTCTCGATAAAAACTCTTATCTGCTGAATCGGGCTAGAAACCCTTTAGATGCAGAACAAAGTGACCTAGAAAGTCACTCTAGTGATCTGGAAAATCGCCTGCACCTCAGCAGGACCAGTGTTAGGTAGGCTAGAAACTTTAACACAGAACAGTACAACCTAGAAGGTTACCCTAATGACCTAGAAAGTCACCCACGCTCTAACAAGGCCAGTATCAAGAACAGAACAAGCTAGAAAGTCACACATGCCTTAACATAAAATTCAATATAAAAACCCCTATACTTGCCTTCTTGTACCTATCGAGTAAAAATTGTGCCTTTTTTTCTGTTTCCTATACCATGATTGGTGATTGCCTTGAGACTCTTAATGTAACAGTCAATTTTCTGATCAAAAGGTTCTACATCACATTGTTCCAGAAAGTCCTGAATGTTCCATTCTTTGGAAACGCTTTTGAAATATTCATGTACTTTGGACATGACTGAATAAGTATGCTGTTTTTTTTTGAGATGAAAATAAGTAATCAATCAAACAAATGTATCAATTAGAAATTGCTAGAACATTTTGTTGCACAGCCCCATTGATGATGTCACACAACATACCCAATTATCTGATCGATTATGCGGATAGACTATCAGTCACCTGTGATGTCACACAATCAATATCTAATATGGTGCAAGTCACCTAGTCCCGCAACTTGCTGCGCCTCGTGGCCAATTTTGGGAAAAATCATCAAAACTCAG